ATAATCCTTGCTCCTTGGGCTAAGCATCGCTTCAATGTTATTTCCTGTATCCTCTTTCCTGTGGTTTGCATCCAAAAGTGATTTATGAAGAAATTGTTTAAAAATTATAGAACAAAAGTGATGTACACTTTGTGGAATATTTTTCCTGAAGATCAATATCTTCAGGTTTCATAATGTTTTTGAATAAAAAAGAATTGTTTTTATTCTCCAGAATTGTCTGGAGTTTCTTTTTCTTTGTACAACGTGGTATGTCATATGCTGCGTCATACTTTTGTGCCTTTATTGTACCTGTGCTGAGGGCGACATCCAGTCAACCCCAACACATGTTGTGGATAACAAATGCTGTGAAGTGCTTCAGGGTGTCTCTCCTTCCAGGAAGACTGAGTGCCACAATGTTATCAGTATATCTGTGTAAGCCAATTCAAGCATAAGTTAAATATAATCATAAGAGTTTCACAGGTAATGTGTTATACCTGCAAGTCACTTTGAAGCCAGAGCATTCAATGAACATCAGTTTTCCATTGAATTTCACACAAACAACAGTATTTTCTGGAAGCAGGAGAGAGCCTAATTCCTGCAAAGCTTGTGATTCCTCAGAAAGCTTGGTTATATACGGTTCCAGCTTGTCGTCCAGTACATTTCTGGGTATGGAGTGAGCAGCAATTTCACTTAGACAGTTAAAACACTGCCTCAACACTGATTTTCCACTTTGAATAAGAGTTTTGTCACGAAAAATACTCAAAAAATTTTCAAAAGGGTATGCATCAAATCCCCCTACATTTTTGGGAAAATCCAGGTGGAACTCCAATTTCAAGGACAATTCACATCTCAATATTTTTATGAAGTGTGAATTGGAAGCTTTAAAAATTATTCTTGGGCAGTTATAATCACAGCAAAAAATCTTTGGAAGTGGGGGTTGCTTTGAGCATAACCCCTTAGATTTTTAAAAAACATTCATTGTTTCTAAGATGGTTATGCTTAAAGCAACCCCCACTTCCAAAGATTTTTTCTGTGATCATAACTGCCTAAGAATAATTTTTAAAGCCTCCAATTCACACTTCATAAAAATATTGAAATGCAAATTGTCCTTGAAATTGGAGTTCCACCTGGATTTTCCCCAAAAATGATCAGAAATGTTTTTTTAAGTCAATTTTTCAGAAAGTGTGCATTTCAGGGTCAAGAATGGCTTCCAAAGAGTGTATGCTAAAAAGTATTCAAAATAGGTTTTCCACATGATCTCTTAGAGATTGTGACCTGCTGGTTTAAAACATATCTTATGTGGACTTATACAATCCTCACATGAAAATGTCCTTTACAATCAGCTTCAATTTGAGGATAACCTTCTTTGAATCAATGTGGATTGATGCTTCAGATCTGCTGATTAAGATGTGGATTGATGATTTAAAGCATTGCTCCCAAGGGGTTATGATTAAAGCAAAAATTATTTGAAATGTGTCTACTTTGAGCATAACCACAAAAAATTTTTCAATTGCATCTGAAAGGCTAATATTCAAAGCTGACACATTTTCAAAGAATTTTTAGCTTATATTTTAACCCCCTTAAACAAAATGTGAACCAAATTGTGGATTTATGCTTTAAACCTGTGACTGTGTTTTAAACCTCTGGATTATAATTTGAATTGCAGTGGTTTCTCAAAGTAAAATCAATTTTCAAAGAATTTTTGCTTTGAGCATAACCCCATTGAAACAAATATTTTAAAACCGGCAATCTACTCTCTCTAAAAATTTAAATGGAGACCTAATTATAAAACTGCTAATTTTTGTAGCAGAACCCCCTTAGATGCAGTACTTCAATGAATTTCAACTGGGTAGAGAAAATTGTCCTCAAAAAGTGGTACAGTATTCATTTGGATTTTTAAAAATAATTTTTGGGATTGCTAATTTAAAAAAATATTTTCTATGTTAAATGATATAAATATCTTCTCAATTGAATATAATTCTGGTGTATGATTTTTTCTGATTTTTCCATTTTTTAAAGCTTTTATAGAAATATTTAAAAATTTTTGAATTTCCGAATTTTTCAGATTTTTTGTGGAAAAAAAAATGTTTGCACTACAAATTTTGTTTGTTCTACAGGGGTGAAAAAAATGGATTTTCCCCAAAAAAAACCATTTGTTCTGCGGAACAATCATTTTGTGAGGAGTTTGTTCTGCAAGTTATCACTGTACTCATAGTTCATTCAATGATTCAAACTTCAATGTCAAAGAAAAACTGTATCCACATTCAGCTGCAAGGCTATTTATTTATGTGGACATTTACAAAGATAACTGATCACAAGCTAGCCCTGCATTGAACCAAAAAGTAACCCTTTACCAAACCTGAACTGACCCATCAGCCATACCAAACCAAAACTTAGTTTTCAGACGCTTCACCAACCTCATTTGAAGAAACTTGTCAACCCTGAAATATTTTGATGTCATTTAGAATGCCCAAAATTCACATAATCTAGAACACATTAACCTCAGTTGAGCTAATGTAAATGAAACTAAACTCATTACAAATTCTAACTTAGCCATACCCAGTGATTCTACCAAATCCAAATCCCCTCTCACTGCCATGTACAAAAGAGCATGGTGGAATTTTTTGGGAGTGGGAATTGGATGTCCACTAAAAACTAGTAATTACGTCACTCTGTATAGCAGGGAGAGAGCAGTATATAGGGTATGTGTATAACAATTATAACAGCATGCTGGTACCTCTTGGCCATTATATCTGGGGGTGGTTCAAAGAGCCAGTGTTCCCCAATCTCAGGGACAAGGTAGGACTGGAAAATTTCCATACACTTTTTTTGCAGACAGTCCAAAGTTTCATTAAAATTTTCCAGGCTCAAAAAAGTTCTGCTTGAAACACCTCATGGCAGGCATTCGAATTTTGAAAGGTTTCTGCTCTTTATAAAATTAAGGACCAATGAAGCAGCCATAGTTGAATGTCTTCAGAAATAAAAAAAAAGGTGTGCTTGCAGAAATGATTTTCAGAATGAAGAAAATTATTTCAGCAGGTGAATACTGTATTTGTCTGAAGTGCTGTCAGGATAAAAGTCAGTACTGTATTTATTTTTCTGTGATATAATTTTGACAGCTATTGCCTTGTCAAGATTTCAGGACGAGATAGTTTCATGTCTCTCATTGCTTCATCTGATTATTTGTTTATGTTGGAGAAAATTTCCCGCTGACTGGCATGGAAACTTCCCGCAACATACTGTATAATCACTGTTGAAGGTCTGTGGACCAGGGGTTGGGGAATGCTGGTTCCAGCAGCTTTTTGCTGGTATCAAACTTTTATGTACACCAGGTGGAATAGGATCTATACCCATACTGTATATCTCTGTCTCATGTACAAGTACTGTACCATAAATAAGCAATTATCATACTACATAAAATGTGTTTGTGGAGAAAGGATCTAACTGACATTGCATTGCTTGCTGTGTATTCCCACAATTGGATTCTGAAAATTGATCTCATATACTGTATGCTCTTGATAAATGTACCTGGAAACGGTTGAAAATTATGGTATGAATAATAATAGCTCAGTATAATTCATGATTTTGGCAGGAGTGATGCAGTTTTGCTTTGTTGAGACATGATAAAATGCACTCAGATATAGAGTGACACCTATATGCATCATAAAATTAAAGAGGTATATCTCAGTTAAAAACACACCCACTTGATGTCATTACACAACTACTTGCTGAGATTCCAGGGTTCCTGGGATTTGTGAGTTTTTCACATTGTATTCAGATGTATGCACAAGGAATTCAGGAATGGGATAAGTACAATACAGGACTTTACTTAATTGGTTTTTTCATCTTAATTGAAGAACTGGGATAATGCAGGATGAAGTTCTTGAATGCTTCGCTCAATATCAAGGATGAATTGTGCCTCCAAATTGTGGAGAAGACTGTAGCATAAGTGTGCTTCAGCACAGATTCAATCCATGATGTACACACACTGGATAAATCAAGATATGCATTTAAATTCATTTCTGAATTTGTTAAGGTTTTGTGCACTTTTAATTTGATCCAGTCTTCAGACATGATGATTCTTCCCTAAAAAAAAATGCCATATTTTCATGCACTTGTAAATTACTGCATATATATGTATTTATAACTGCACATATTTGGTAGGATATTCTGACTTTAAAAAATGGTGAACATTTTATTCACATAATTTGAACAATGTAATTTGGATATTCAAATTTTTTATATTCATTTTGAAAATGTTTTCTTTGTATTTGAACTGTTATATGTCCATCAGAGTTTCCCTAGACAATATATCTTATCTATTGAAAAAGTGTTTTTATATGTACACTGTTATTTGTCCCCCAAGAGTCTCCATATAAATTTGCACCACCAAACTATAGCAGTTGAAGTCACTCCCAGAGAGACTGGTGCTCCAAGGTGTGGCTAAGAGGTAGCCCTGAATGGAGGGGTGTTGAGAGAAAGATGTACCATAACATCGCATCACGCAATTTGGAAGTATGGCAATAAGAAGAGTACACATTCATTGGAAAAAAGAGTACACATTCATTCGAAAAAAAAAAAAGAATACACATCCATTCAATATCACAAGGTCCATGAAATGAGGAAAGCACTACGGTGCTATTTCAAGGTAACATTTCAGTCAAAATAGCCTTTGCCTCGGAAGTCAATGTTGAAGGAAATTTGATGTCGAAAGAAACGACGAGATCTCCCTTCTTCAGAGGGTCTTTTGAATGAGGCAATCCATAGCCATCCAACCTGTGCACAGTCCCCGGCGTAACCACTTGATCCTTCAGATTGATAGCAACATGCTTTCCCTCCAGAGTGGGAACCACAACTCGACATCCGCACAAGGCTTCCTTCAGGGTGATGGCAGCTTTGTACTTGATATCAGCACCATCTCGGGTAAATAATGGGTGTGGTTTATCCCGGACAATGAAGGTGATGTCTGCAGGATCATTTCCGTAGGTCTGATCACCCTCCTTTGCAAAGGTCACTCGGGTACCAGCTTTCCACCCAGGCTTCACGTGGATAACGAGGACATTATCTTCCTTGATGCCCTGACCATCCGGTCGAATCCGTGTTCTGGTGATTTTCATCTTCTTCGTGCAGCCTGTGGCAATGCTTTCCAGGGGAATTTCAAGCTCATGTTCAGAACTCTTGGGTGGAGCTGCAGCTGAACGCTTCGCCATCTTCGGCCTTCCGCCGCCACCAAGCATTGAAAAGATGTCGTCATCCACATCCATGGCATTACTCTGATACTGCTGCATACCATTCACGAACACCCGATGACCACTTCCTCCTCCACCACCACCAACGTTGAAAAACGCCTCGAACGGATTTGACGACCCGAAGCATTGCGCGAAGGTTTCGCGTGGATCACGAGAATGGAAATGGAATCCACCTCCAGGCATTCCTCCTCCACTGTCGCCACCCATGCTGCTCTTCAATCCGTCTTCCCCGTACTGATCGTAGATTTCTCTCTTCCTCTTGTCACTCAACACCTGCTCACAGATCAGCTCTGATTAGTTCAAATTCACAAACATCACGGCTGCTAAATTCAAATATGCAACACATTACGTACTTCATAGGCTTCCGAAACCTCCTTGAACTTCTCCTCAGCTCCAGGCGACTTATTCTTGTCTGGGTGATACTTCAAAGCGAGTTTCCGGTACGCCTTCTTCATTTCGTCGTCCGAAGCTGACCGCGAGACGCCCAAAATATCGTAATAATTCTTCCCCATATTGCGTGCACGTTTGGACATGTAACTTCCAGTTACCTTACAAAAACATAGATTTCTTTTGCAACAGGAACAATCTGTTCACAAATATCGCCGAACTCCGAATTCTTTCTGGTTCCGATCTGAGCAGGAGGACAGGGAAACTGCTGCCCAATATCATACTGATAGACTGAAGACCGCCGGAGAATGATCTGGAACATTCTCTACCCCATTCCAAGTTTGGACGGAACACCTGTCCTTCTATTCCTGGTCTTGCTGGAAACTCGTGGAGCATCCTGACGGGACGTTATGCTAAAACTTCCTTTCAACGCCACACCATTAAATGCTACCTCTTCCACGCCACCCCTAGGAGCGCCAGCCTCTCATTGAGTGACTTCAACTGCAATGCTTTGGCAGTGTAAAATGTATAGGGAGACTCCCATCAGGGACAAAGAATAGTGCATATGTAAAAACACCTTTTTTATATATAAAATATATGATTTATGGAAACTCTGATGAACAAACAATAGTGTGAATATAAAAAATATTTTCAAAATAAATAAAAGATTCTGAAATATCCAACTAACACTGCAAATTACGTGAAGAAAAATTTCAAGGAACTTTTTTCCAGTCTGAATATCCAATAAAATTTCTTACTATACTGTACAAATGACATGACACAGAGCATAAGAACACATTTTGAATATCACCTCTATCAGTGTCTTAAGCAGCAGGGAACACACCAATTTCCAGATATAAAATCATGAGCTATAAAATTATAATTTTGTGAATTATAGAACATGACCTGTTTTTCATTTTCCTCACACTCCAGGTCACCTTCTATCTTCTTGAACAACTGCACCACGTTGTTGGTAGCACAACGCAGGTCTGACATTGCCTTGTTGCATACCCAGCAAATAATCACCCATTTTCCAGTCAGGCGTAAAGACCCAGGCAAAAATCACCCATCAAACACCAGTTTTTCATGGGTGCGTGAATACGGGCAGTATTTTCGAAAATGGGTGATTTTTCTTCAGCCGTTTTCCTGCCAGGTGTATGGACACAGGCGCAAAACACCCGTCAAACACCCGTATTTCATGGATGGTTGAAAACAGGTGATTTTCCCAATTTTAGCAGAAGTTGTGATTTTTGACTGTATGAACGCATTTGAGAAGTACACGTTTTCACACCCATGAAACACCTGTCATGAATGGCTTTTGAAAATGAATGTTTTGCTTGAGTATAGAATTTAGGGCTGACGAGATATTTACTTGGGGGGGGGGGATTTTGTTTAACATCTATTCCCACCCACATCCACGCGCTGTGCAGCATGGTGTTTAATAAGTGCATGGCGCGTGGTTTCATACTTCAAGGTAATGTTTGCTCCGGAATTGACTTGGTTGTCTTGTGATCGGGTAGCAGCTCTACGGCAGAAAGGCGCATGGCCTATTGGATGCGTCATCGAAGTTGTTGAGGAAAATGAAGGAATTATCATTGTTATGTCCAATGATCACTGGCTGTGGCTTGTTGGGTCACGTGGGCATGTATTAGTTGCGGCAAGCAAGGTCAAGGCTGAAGTGCCTTATCCAACTGGTCAAAACCATTACTTTGTATGAGACAGTTGGTCTCCTGGTTGAAGGTATTTTGAACTTGAGGTTTGTGGGCTGTTCCTTTGTTGTTCGTAATTGACCAGTATTTGAGAGGTATTGATTTTTTTTGCAAATGGGTTGCCTTTGTTTTTGGTAAAGGAATGTTAACCAAGTGCCTCTGGTCCATGTATATAGACATGGGGACATTGATCTTTTTTGTCGGTGATAACGTTGAGTCTTGTTTTGGCAGCATTTTTGTTATTGGTGATTGTTTACATATTTGTAAGGAATGTTTTGAATACGACCGGACTTAATTGACACAATTGTCTTTCACTCTGCTGCTGTAGTTGATTGTTCCACAGAAGTAACTGTTTCCATCTTGTCCTCAATTTCCAGGGGAATCAAGTTTTCAATCAACTGACTCGTCAGGATGTGCGGAGTCGATGTTCCATCCCTGTTATATTTTCGTGAAGTCAAAACATCCCCTGATTGGATTTGGTGGTCTCTGGGACTTCTGTGAACCTTTAATATCTTGCATAATTTCCACTTGAGATGTCCCATTGGAGTGTCATTGTGGAATGCATTTTGTTTTAATAACACAATTTGCCCAATTGATGGTTCCAAGTATGCTTGGTCAGGTTTTTGCTTTGTAGTTGGGAATTTCCGTAACGTTGTAACATAGCCATCGTAAAAAGATTTCCACAGTTGTCTGACAATAGCAATGCAAAACTTTGCAAGCTTAGTCAGTCCTTCCTTGTTAGTATGTTCAGTAAACTGAATTGGGTTTGGTCCATAACAGTATGGGTCAAAATCTGGGTCAGTTGTATAATCAGCTTGGGGTGTGTTTAAAAACATAGATGGGGTAATGGCAATAGGATCATTCTGGTTGGTTGGCACATAGGTCAGTGGTCTTGAGTTAATGACTCTTGCCACTGTTATCTTAACTTGCTTGAAATACAAGCTGGGGGTGCCCAGCCACACCTGGGCATTGGACACATTTTAGTTTTGAAAACTTTGATGTACTGCAGAAATTAATATGTGGAAGAGGGGTGCCCTCATGCAACTGTTTATCATGTTACAAATTATGCAGAGAACTTGAAAAAAAAATTATGATTGAAGTTGGTTAACTGGTGAAGGACCACCAGTAATCTTGTACTTGTGCTCAATGTGTCAGTTGTGGCCCTGTGGGCCACAA